ATTTTTTTGGGATTGTTAAATATTAAAATGGTAGATTTCTTATTAATGAGTGAAAGAGTTATCAATCAAATTTAATATGTTAACAGTTGTAAGTAAAAAATACTAGCGTTGACCGTAAATAAGAATGCTCGTAACACAAAATAAATAGGGAAAATTGGAAAAAAAGGATATCTACTTAAAAATTTGTCCATATATACCTTAATTTTGTAGATTGGTCAAATAGGTTTTATAAAGGGAAATTGTTAATAATGCCACTTTTTCAATGCCACTTTTCAAAAATACCCCTTTTTTAAAACCTTATAAAAAATGCTCTTAAAAATATAAGATTTACCCAAATATGTATGTAATATTATTAAAACATACACAAACTACATTTCTATGTATCTAAAATCTTATAAATACTTTATAAATACCTTATAAATGCATTTTAAATACCTTTAAAAACCTTTAAAATATCTTGTAAAACCTTTGGAAAACCTTAAAAATCCTTTAAAACAACTTGTAAAACCTTTAAAAACACCTTATAAAACCTTATAAATACTTGGATCGAGTCTTCAAGTAGTAGTTACAATCCATAAGTACCTTATAAACCTAATAAAACTTTATAAAAATTTCAGATTTAAAAAGGGGCATTTTTGAAAATGGACATCTAAAAGGGGCATTTTTGAAAAGGGGCATGAGAAAAGGGGTATTTTTGCTAATCCCCCTTTTATAAATTTCAAAACCCAAGTTTACCCTCATTTGCTCTCAAAATTTATTAAAAAAATAAAACTTCCTAGTTGAGCTGAGCGACATCTATTTATATAATTTTGTTTTGTGTTTGTATGGTTTTTTAATTGTCATCATTATAATCAAACGACATCTATTTTACAGTCATCATTATAATCAAACAACTTATCTTTTTTTTTTTAAATGGGATAATTGATGCTTAGGCTAGAAAGAAAGTTAAGAATTTCTTGATTATATATTCTAATAATAACGTCGTTTCACTCAAATTTTAATCGCAAATGTTAAAAGCTTTGTGATTTGTATTACTCAACGTCGCAACTCGTTAATTAGTAATAGCCAACACTAATATTAATAACTAAGTCAATACTACGTTTTTTAGTAAAGTTTAATTCTTTCAACATAACAGAAGAGAAAACGTTAATTAATAATGAGTGTGTTTTCATTCTCTTCTCTCTCCAGCGACCCTTTAAATTTCTGTAAGTTTTTAAAGCTAATCTCCTCCATCATCTTCTCACGGATCTATCATCTATTATACCATTTCTTTTTGTTCTCAATTCTATCATTTTTTCTTATATTATACAATCAATACAAACATTGCTACACATGTATAATAAATACTATCTCACTTTCTTCTATCAAGCAATCTTATTGAAGAAATAAGATTTTTGAGAATTTGATCACAATTTGAAGGAAGAAAGATCAAACGATGGCTTAGCTTAGGGTTTAGAAAACGTTTTAGGTTTTAATTTTGTCTAAAAAACGTAGACAACGACTTCTACATCTTGTAAATCGTAATCTAAACAACAAATATTCATTTAAAACGTAATCTCAAAATATATTTAGTTTCATTTTTTAAAGATTTACTTTCTATATTTAGAGCATTCTAAAAATTTCAGAAAACGAAATCTACAATATCGTAGAATTTACATTCTAAACGAAGATTACAATTTCTAACGATGGCAGAAGATGTAGAAATTAGTAGAACGGCTATTCTAAAATATTTAGAACATAGAGCAAAACGTAGAATGCATGTTCTGAATATTTTAGATATATGATTTTCGGATTTCTAAAATTTTCAGAACAGAAATCTAGTCTGAAATATGTAGAACATGTACAAAAATGCAGAATACACACTCTGAGTTTCGCAGAACTCTAGAATACGTGTTCTACCAAAATTAGATGAAACTTTATCTATAAAAAAATCAACTTTTTTTAAACCAAATCTAAAAAATTTCACTTCAAATCACCTCTACTCTTGTATATCTACCTATTTTTATGAATATTTTTTTAAAAAAACATGTAAATTAGGGTGGAGGGGTAAAATCGTCTAAACAAACAATCTCACAAAAAATATGTATATGGACAAATTTTTAAGTAGATATCCTTTATTTCTAATTTTCCCTAAATAGATATCCACTAATCAAACATTAAAAGAAATCTACCACTTAACATTATTTTTACTGATGGGATAGTGTTATTTATTTTTGGTAAGAATGGGATAGAGTTATTTGAGTAATCTACTTTTCGTATAAAAGATCTTATAACCTAAAATAATTTCTTGAATCATCGGAAAGTTTCATATAATGTACAAATGTGCGTCACTGGAATGTTAGAAAATGCCACGTTTTTTTTCTTTAAAGTAAGGGATCCCCTAAAGTAACTCCATAATTATTTCTGTTTTTGGTCAATTTGCAACATTGCAGTCTTCAAGACCCTATTTATTATTGTTTTCTAGTAGTAAACAAGGCCGACTAATCAAGGCCGACGGAGCCGCAGATTTAGCAGATTCAGTGGGTAAATAATGAATATTGATTATTTAAGTGGGAATTAAGTCAATTAACTTATGTAATATTTTCTAAAAAAAATATGAATTTTTTCTGTTATCAGGAAGATATATATACTCATTTATCGTTGAAATAAAAGTATGACCAATTTTTTTTGTTTCAAATTTTTTTTTTTTCAGTAACAGCTATCAATGACGTTAAACAAATAATCAAACGCTATTATTTTTACCTACGGTGATGCCATCTTGAAAATACAGTTAACGTCTATGGTCCATTAACAAATGATTCAATGCAAATAAAGCCCAAATTTAAAGGAGTACGAAGAAAGTGTCTAGATACAAAGAACCAATCTCCATTAATGACGATTGACAAAATCTCTCAAAACTAATTCTTGATTGATTTCTGTAATTAATTTGATTTATTTTGTATTTATGTTGATGATTTGTAATTTAAGTCTATATAAACCCATTTCTCTATTTATTTTAAAGATATAGATTTTTGGAATATAAAAGAGAGAATTTTCTCTAAAGCCTAGGCTTTGTTTTTGTTTATCTAAAATAGGTGGATTCCTTTACTTAGTAAACGTTTGAGTCTATGTCCTTTTTGTAGATTCATTAAGGTTTAGATTCGTGATCTCATGATAAAGGATGTCACACCTTTGGGTAGCGATCCTCGATCCACCATCAAAACATCAATCGATCCAACGAGAGAGTGCGACCGCCAGCTCATTTGATCTCATATCTATCTCCTAATCCATCCATTGAACAACAAGAGAGAGCGTTAAAGCCAAACTTGTTGCTTCCTGTGGCTCCATCTCCTATCACGACGCTTTGGATCTTATATCATACGGGAAGACTTCAGCGGACCAAAACCTTGAACTCCTCGATGACAACACTTTACACCACTGAACTTATCGAAAACTAAAGACACCTCCATCGGTGGATTCTTAAAAGAGTTCTCACCATTAAAAAAATAAAAAAAGGAGAAAAGATAATGAAATCGATTTTCAAATAAGGACCCATGAAAACCTCTTATACCGATGGAAGCGCTCTAAGAAAAATAATAATAATTAAGCTACAAAACTTTTGCAGTGACGGTGACAAAAACCCCGACCACCATAGAGGTACGTATGAGAGTAGGATTTTTGCTAGCCATCAATTCCTAAAGCAGTACCATGTCATTGCAGTACTTAATGTATCAATCCATTCAGGTGTAATGCAAACAGATGAAATGTGATCAGAGATCACTAAGTCAAGCCAAACAGAAATGGGTTAGTTTTCTAACTGTCGTAAAAGGTAATGCAGAAGATAATAAAACTGCAGAAATATAACCATATACTCATCACACAGGCTCACTGCCAAGAGAGAGGTGGTGATCGAGTATATCAATGGTGACAGAGAAAAGATATTAAAATTTAGCAGCATGTAACAAAGCAGACGAATAATGAGATAAATAAACAGATAAATCAAATAGACGAGAAATTTCTAAGGATGGGGTAATCGAATAATGTGGTCTCCTTAGCATATTCAGATGGTTAACAAAACGCAATCAAGCTATCCCTAGATAACAAGTTCAACAACAGATCGATTCACTAGCGTGATAGAAATCTTCAAACAAAGCTAGATCAAGACCTAATTCCCATTAGCGAAACCTAACTATGTAGGCAATAAGATTCAACCTGTTAACATCAATAAACGCTCTAAACGACCAATCCCTTGGGATAGAGACGAATATCTCTGGAATTAGTGGATCATGCATTCCATCAAACAGCTTCTGAGTGCAGAAATGCTTGAGTTTGGATTTCAATTGATCAGACAGAAATGAGCAGTAAGCACAACTAATCCAGAAGAGATTCAATCAATTCTACATTTTACCACCTAAAAGACTAAGGATCCCACTGATAAGGTTCAAATTAACTCTTAGAACTACTCTCTCAAATAAGAGATCAATTGCAGTACTTTAGGGTCGAATTCCACAAAGTTCTCGTTGTCCACGCAATAAACAATTCAGCAATCGAATTAAGCTAAATATGAAATAAGATAATCAAATAAAACTAACAAATGAATGGGGTTTGAAATCAATTGATGGAAGAGCTAGACCTAAGGTTATTCCTTTCAGTAAATCAGAATTACAAATTAAACAGCAGGCAAGGGTTTATTAAGCACCGTTCTTGAACTCAAATCACATATATCAAATTAACCACCTCTCGAGTGAATTAATTCTCTATGCCTAATAATAGAAATTCCACCCTCTCGAATGCAAACTCCTAGAATTAAACAAGCATTAAAGTCCAAGTTTGATATGTTCACAAAAGTACTAAACCACCTCTCGAATGAGAATAGTCCTTTTGCTCACCTAAGATTATTTCAGGAAATAGATGACCTCTCGAATCTATCTAATATCCTATGAGCTAGATTCCAAGTGATCAGTCTAGAACTAGTAATTATATCAAATCTAGGTGAAGAACCCTAAAATTTCCCTACCAATATGGGTTTATCGTATTTATCAATAACCCATATACTTTTTGCTCAGCTGCAACCCGCAAAGCCTTTGCTTCACGCTCTTCTTGTTCCTCTATTTTGTGGGTAGCTTCCTCAAGCTATGTTTACAGGCTTGTAAAAGAAGAAGAGCTTCCCGGGTACTTCCGCTTTTCGTTGATGTAACTCCCTAGGCTTCCAACTCCAAAGAATTTTCCCCTCTCGTTTGTGAAAGTAGACTGCATAAACAAAACAAAGAATATTAGTTCTTAACAGTTTTTCAAAATGATAATATCATAAAAATCAAACATAAAGAAGCACATTACTTGAAGAAAGAGCTCGTCATCCTCCTCATGAGATAGCTCTCGACGCGAAGTACCGTTGGAAGACTCATCATTCTCGAGGGTAGCCAACTTATCTTCCTTGTTCGTCTTATATACCTCATGAACTTTCTGCGTTTTTCCTATCGACAAAAGTCCCATCTTTTTGGTATGAGTCCTGATGAAAACTTCACCGATAGCAGGCGGTCTTCCCAATTTAACTTCCTGAAATGTTAAACAATGAAAAGGTGAATGATAGAGGAAATAAATGTGTCTTGATGCAACTTATCATCTCAAATTTTATGTCATGATGTAACTTACCATCTCTTGTTCGACTTGTATATATGATTTCGGCCCCGATACGTGCTTGTGAGGACCAAGACCATTACGGTCAGACATTCGAACTGATAATGTGGTTGCACTCTTTGTTCTTGCTTCTTCTATGTCCCAATAGTTACACATTTATTTTTACAGTGTATTGTCAATCCAAATCGGTTTCTCTCGTCGACTCGCTGCCTTGGAAACCATGTCTTTCATACAGCGTTGACAAACCGAATAGAAAAATGTTGCTTCAACCACACCAGTCAGTGAGGGATTCTAGCTGCTTTATTTACAAAACAAGAGTGAAGATTGATGTTAGTGATCAAAACACCAAAAAGTATAAATACAAAGGTTACAATAGATTGAGAGGCGATAAAAGTTTACCGCGAATTCGATGAAGTATCTTTCTCTTCTTGCAGTAGGTACACACCTCCAAGTGTAATATGGCTGATGTGGTGTGGTTTTTTACTTCAATCTTTTACCTCAAAAGACCACACGACTACTACAAGTACATAGTAAATCGTCTATAGTATTTAAAGATAAAATCCCACAGAGAGAAGTAGTTCAAACGATCCGTCAGAAGAGAGTAAAGCTAGGACAAATAAAAAAAAGAGAGTTTGGTGTTGGTGTCACGGTTGCAAAAGTAGGTAAATAAGAAAGAAAAGCAGGTAAATAAATAAGAGACAAACGTTGGGCATTTAAGGGATCGCAGAGGTTTTAATGATCTTTCTAACTAGGAAATACTAAGATTAGGTTTGTTTACTTCCAAGTCTCTGACATACGAAACACTAACCATCGACTAACCCTAGGTTATAGAATAAGTCGGCTAAAATCCCTATACTCCGTTACTCAACTCACGCAAGGAATGCCGCATAGATCAAAGCAATAAGATTGAGTTCGATTCTAGTCCATAAAGCCCTATAACTAAGTGGTGTGTGCTTGTTATATAACACGATACACATTTGTAAGCTATATTTAGTGTATTAAGCAACCTTCTGAGAAACGTAAACACTTGAGATCAGAGTTAGGTCATGAATCTAACTACATGCATTAAAAGAAAGCTTAATTAGAAAGAATACAGTGCAAACGATCAACAAAACCCTAAGTATCGCCACCTTGACGATCGTGAAGAAGTACTTGAGCGCAACTGACCAAATTTTCTCGCCTTCCTCGAGTCTCAATTGACTGATCCTGCTACTGCTAATGTTCAAACATAGGTCCCTTAATTTTTCGTCCATTTCTGAACTTGAAAACTTTTTTGTTAGTTGAACAAGAATGTTTGTTGTTTGGTTTTGGTTTTGAACTTATGAACGTGTGTGTTTCCCTTGAACAAATATGTTTGTTGTGTTTTGTGTTTTAAATACAAGTTTCTTATGTTTTAAATAAAAGTTTGTTTGATTATAATAAATTCGTAATTACAATTAAATTATCAACAACCAGATTCTTCCCACAAAAAGTAGGCTAAATCGAGAATTAAACCACTAATCAATCACAAAGTAGTAGCAATTCAGTCACCAAAAGAATCACAAAATAGTGGCCATATAGTGGCAAAGATGTCACTGAACAGTCGCTATATTTAGCGAAGACTTTGCGACATATTAGCGAAGACTGAAATTTGTCGCACATTAGTCGCTAATCAGCGACTGATAATTTTAGTGGCGCGTTGTTTGGCGACTACGTGTTTTAGTCATAAAGCAGTCGTAAGTAGGGTTTTTTAGTGACTGCTTATGTAGTCGCTAATTCATTATTTTCTTGTAGTTATCCCTCAAACATTTTGACAGAGGTGTTTCAACCTAGATCGGGTAAATCTCCCTTCCGGCGAAACCCCGACGTATCTCTGACCCGACATGGTTCTGATCCCCTCTCAGTTCCAAACAGAAGATCGCTTGTACCATCTCACTTTTGCCCTCCTCTCTTCATTGACCACCACCGGTTTCCATCTCCTCACATTCATCATAAGCTTTGGTCTATGTTCTTTTCAAAGGTTCAACAAGTAGGTTCTTTGTCGCCTCCGCTTTTGCAGCCATTTTTAGGATTGTTATCTCTACACTAGTTGCAAGTTTAATCATGAGCAATAGATCACTATTGGTGCTCTTTGCTCCCTAAGGCGTTGTTTCACTTCCAAGTTCTAATGTCATCAAAGCTCGAGGACTCCATGATAATGATTATTGCTTGAGTGTTAGGATTGCAAATATCTATCTTGTTATCTACTGTTTTTATGTATGTCGCTTGGATTTTGAACCGGCGATGTTGGCTTTATTTTCATCCTTTGTATCTCGTTCCTCCTTTGATGTAGAGTAGCCTTCTATAAAATCTTGCTAACCAAAAAAAAATGTAGCCAAATTAAAATTTTAAGCGTTTTTCATGCACTACTATATTTTTAGAAATCAACGTGTTATATTCACTTTCCACTCACAAAACACAACGCCTTTGTTGGGTACCAAGATCTTCATTCTCGACTGTATGATCTCATATGTCTCCACACTCGTCAAAGTTCTGTTCTGATACCACTTTTAACATCCACCACCATTCGTGTGTCCCACGTTCTCTCTTGGCGTATAGCTCTTATTCTTGTCCGACAGCCGATTCGATATGAAGGCTCAAAAAGCTTTTTTTTATTGTCTCTATAAATTACTACAAAAATTTTCCTCATATATATTTTTACTCACATGGTAGTAAGAATAGCTCAAGCATCCTAAAATTACTAAAGTTCAAACATGCATAGTTCCAAAATTTTGTTAAAAAGATTGACAGAAGAAATAAATACATTTTGGTGACATAGGTAAGCAAATAAATCTTTTTAAATGATTCTCATACACCACCATATTTTTAGAAATTTAGGTATTACAATTAATAAATATACTCGCTCCGTTTTACATAATATTTTTGATGTTTGACACAAATTAATTAATTTTTATTGGTTTTGACAATTGATATTATATAGATTATTGTACGGTTTAATCTTATTTAAATTGATAATAAATAATATTTTAATTTAAAAATAAAAAATTATGTTAAATAATTTTTAATTAGTTTCTTAAAATTGTAAACTTCAAATATAAAAAAAAACAGAAGAAATATTAATTTTTTACATTGGTAAATGTCGTTAATAACCGTTAGTTCCTATTGGATAATAAACTAAGCCAATGTGTTTGTATAAAACCAATGCAAATCATGTGCCGACAAAAAGCATAACACATGATTACAAGCCATTAAAGCGTAATAATTAGTATCAAGATTTAAAATGGTTAGATTCTCTAGATTTTGCTTAAAAAGATGAATTTAATCAAATATTTTACATAATTTAAATTTTAGGGAATTTTGAAAATGCTTATTTTGCTGTGTTCCGTTTCAAAAGTTCATCATTTAGGTGTCCATTATTTTCAAAAATAATTCTCATTAGATCTAATTGGAGACTCGATCCAAATTTCTAAGGTTTTAAAAAGTTTTACAAGGTGTTTATAAGTTTTTACAAAATATTTGTAAGGTATTTTAAGATTTTACATACATAAAGGTAGTTTGCGTATGTTTTAATAAGGTTTATTTGGGTAAATTTCAGAATTTTCGGAACATGTTATTGATAAAGTTTTAGAGATAGAGCCTTTTTGAATAGTGGTATTAGAAAAGAGGCATTTTGAAATTCTCCCTAAATTTAAATAACAAGCTATATGTTATTGTTTATTAAATCGTACGATATTTCCAATAACAATGGATTCGAAGGTATTTTTTTAATTCAGTAATTCAATAACATTTGATTATAATAGACATTGACAAATTAGATAATCAGTAAATAACATATAGCTTGTTATTTAAATTTTAATTATATATATACACACTCTCTAAAATACTCTAATAAAATTTATATACAATTATAAATTGTAAATTAACAAAAAGGAAGGAAACACCCGAATTTAACCAAATTTGGTTTTATTTCTAAGGAGAAGTTTTGGCGGACTAGTTGATAGTGAAAGTTAAATAATTATGTCCCAAGAAGAAAATTTAAAATTGCAAAGAAACAAAATGAGCCAAACTAAGAGTGTGAAGTGGCGCATGGAGTTTCCAACGGTCAATGAGTAACAAAAACATGGGTTTATAACAACTTGAATGTACCTCATTAAGTTGAACAAAAAAAAAAAAGAATTTACCTCATTACAAGAATAATTACAAATATTTAATTAAACACAAATGAATGTAAGAGTTTATGAAATGCTAATTTATTGTGTTGTTTACATTATACACCTAAAAATACTCACGATTTAACATATTCAATAAATATATAAAGTATGAAAAAATACTTCTTTTTTTTGATCAACCAGTTTGAAAAAAATACTTTAACATTCAATATAACTTGTGACATAGTATATTATATTTTATAGCTCGATAGCTCTTACATTCAAACTCACAAAATTATTGAGAAAAATAACATTTAATTTCACATAATATTACAGGTATTCTATTACTAATATATATATATATATATTAAGAATTAGTTTTGTTTTATTATATACTATATTTTAAAAAATATTTTAGTCACTGAACGAATTTTATTTTTTTAAATTAGTTATTGTAATTTTTTCTTTTCCCTAGTTTTCTTTTTTAATTTTGTCTCCAATTAAATTACAAGTAGAAAGTTAAATCAAATATATGGAAACAAAAACTCCTCATATTTGGAAAAAAACTAACAATTCATTGGAGACCATAATATAAACTTTTTATGAAATTTATATTTGATAGTATTTTTTAATAATTTATTATAAAATTTTGTTATTTTTTACATTAATGAAATTTAATAGATATAATTACAAATATTATATTTAAATCTAATTTATTTCAAATAAAACAAGAAAATTAGACTATAAAAATATCCCTTGTCAGTTGTTTTGACATAATAATGAATCATATTTTACATCAATCGCAACTCATAAATTTACAGTTTCTACCTTATATTTTCTTACATCAAGATACATCAGATTATAACTAAATTTACTACAACTCAATTTAAATACTAAAGGTGTGACTGGATGCCCTTATTAGAAGAAAATAAAAAAAAAATTTGTTTTTTCTTCCCGTTTGCACTAGTAAAGAAATTTATTTTTATTCTGAATTATTATGAAAAGTAAAAAACATGAGAAAAGTAGATGAATTCTTTCCTCTATAATATTGAAATCGATATATTTTTCTTCTC